AGTGCGCGGGGGGTGCGAATGGGGCGCCCGCCCCAGCCTCAGCAGCTCCTGCTGGCCTGAGAGGCTCAGCCACGTGAGGTCCGCAGCCGCCAGGCCACCCGGGGCGCCGAGGAGCGGACCTGGAGCCGAGTAGCCAGCGGGTGCATAGGGCGGCGCGGGCGCAGAGCCCGACGCGTAGGGCGCAGAACCGAGCGCGCGGGTGTTTACCCACAAGCGCCGGCCACAGTCTGCGACACCCAGATCTCTATGCGCGTAACCCGGGGTATGTGTGGATGCCCGGGTCTGACTAGGTGGGGCTGAGCAGGCGCCCAGGCTGCTGCAGTACCCCGCCATGTCCAACCGCTCCCGTGCCTGAGGTGATGTCTGCACCAAAACCTATGGGCCCGCCAGCCCCCATCCAGCTGGGCAGCCAGCAGCGACGGTGCGGCCAGATCGGCCTCACCCTCCAGCTTTAAAAGCTGCAGGGGCGAGAACCTTTCCCCCGCCCACCTTGGAGGAGCAAAGTCCAAGTCCCCGCCCTGGGGTCAGCTTTCTGTCCCGCCCAGGTCCCCATGTAAACCCGCCTTCCGGTGCTGGCCTAGTCTTGGGTCTACTGTCGTTCTGTAGTGTAAGCCACAGGCCCCCTAGGTCCCCAGGAAACTCACAGATCCAGGGGTTCCTCTGATCTCTTGGGCCCTGCAGCCCAGGCTGCCCTGGCCTTCCCGCACGTACCACGTCTTCTGTGGCACTCTTTGGATGTGGTTTGGGAACATGGTCCGAAGCACGGTCCCTTGCTAGTCTGGGGAGACCATAACCCCACGACATCATCCCATCTCGGGCCCCTGTGTCATCTGGACCACAGATCGGGTGTGGAGAGCGGCCGCACTGAGCAACATAGCCCTGTGAAGTCCATGCGTGTCGCAGGACCCGGGCTGCGCGAGGAAGCTGGGCGCGAACTCCAGGCCCGGCACCGACAGTGGCACGGAGACGTTCGGAGTCACCGCGCAGCAAATAGTGTTAGACTGCAAGCTGGCTTCCGTGCAGACGCGGGCCACACCCGGCTGAAGATCCCGACTCTGCAAATCCTGGCCTTCCAGCTGTCCAGGTCTCCCAAGTCCAGAGAGTCCAAAACCTTCAGGCTTGTCCTCGCGGGGCCTGGGGCCCCAAGTGTCGAGGATGATGAAGCCCACCGTTGGATGTCTCGCCAGAAACAGTCCCCAATCGGGGCATAGTTGTAGTGCACCAGACACCAGCAGCAAACTCCTCGGCCTGGGATTCCGGCCCTGTTCTCCCGATTCCCCAAGCCTCCGGGATCTCAGTTTCTCCTGACTTCCCCAAGTGAGTCCCTGACTCACCAGTTCGCGGCTTTCAAAGCCTCGACTTCCGCTGACCTCCTGCCCCAACTCCGACTACAGGCAGCACCTGCCCCCACCCCGACTACAAGCAGCCCCGACCTATACTCAGAAGCGAGGACCGGTCGAGGCTAACACGCCTCGGTGGATTGGAGTTATTGGGAAAAGCTCGGACTTTCTCTGACTCTGAGTTCGGGCTCCTGCACAGCAAGGCGAAAATTCTGACCTGTTGATCAAGGCTCAAACATAAAGAGACTGCCCCCGCCCCCACCTCCCGCCTCCCTATCTTGCAGAATTGTTTGCCTGCGGGCCTTAAAGCCGGCCTTGTTAAACTGCTCTTGCTATCTCTGGGCTGTGAATTCTCAAAGCGAATTAATTTGAATTCATTTAAAAAGCAAAAGGTCCCAATCACCCTGACTCTGGAGGAGGGGGGAGACACAGGGTACTGGAGCCAGTGGTTGGATTAAAGAGCGAGCTTGGGTCTGGGAATTAAAGGGATCATGTGAGTTAGCCTTTTACTGGTGGTATAACCTTCAGCCTCTCAGACTGTAATTCCAAATCTTATGTAAAACCCAATTTATGGGATAATTTAAACAAATGACTGACGGAAGGAAGTGGGAGCCCTCCTAATGTGACATTGGCTTTTTTTCTTTTAAAGGAACAGCTTTCAGAAAGTGGTGGGTAAAAACTGCCCAACCAAAGCAAGGAAAGAAATGCCCTCAACAGTTCGTTCACCAAGGCTCTTCAGCCCCAGTGTAAGCAGTTCCCCGAAGACTAAAGTCAAAGGAGTGCTAGCTCTGAGGAGTTCAGATCCTGGGCTTTCAATAGTACTCTCCCCTTCACTGCAGGGCGGTGGTAGGGGGAGGTAAAGACACCATCCCTGGCTTTCCTAGCAGGAACAGACTGTTGCTTCTATCAAAAACAGCAGCCAGTGCCCTCTGCCTTTCAGCCTAGTCATTTCTGCCCCCAAGAACACTCCTGTCTTCCTTTTGCTCCAGCAGCTGATGTGAAGTGCCTGGCAGGAAAACCGATGCTGTGTGTGTGTGTGTGTGTGTGTGTGTGTGTGTGTGGTAGGTGGGGGTGATTGCTCAAGTCTTTGAATGTAGAAGATACTTGTCTTGGAGGAGAAACAATGATTTGAGAGGAAAGAGAAAAACCTAATCTGCAGTTAACGGCACTGCTGAGAAGAAAATCAGATATATTACATTTCAGAGAACATCGTGAGTCATCTCTTGCCACGTAAAAGAATGAAACAAAAAGATGAGGGTTCTTTCCACATCGTCTTTAATTTTAATAGACTTTGTTCCTGTTAATAGTATAACTTTAATACTTGTGAGTTTCAGGAGCTTCAAGAAGATTAAATGAATCTTCACATAATTTTTCTCAATTTTATTTTATATGAATTGTGATAATTTGTGCCATTCTTAAGAGTCCATATTTTAATCAACTCCCCCCCCCTTTTTTTGCTTTCTAAGCCCAATGTCTTTTTTTTTTAAAGGTTTTGCTATAGCACATCTGCACTCAACAGAGAGATACAGAGAGAGAGAGAAAGAGAGAGAAAACTCCCAGTGGAATGCGGAAACACTGCCATCCCTTCACCTCCATTTCTTCATGCTATCTGGGTTTGGGACACACATGAATACAAGCCAAGTGGTCTGTCCAGCATCATCCCTGTGGGATCTGGCACCTTAAACATCAAGCCTCTGTGTTGGTCCTGCCCTGCCCTAGGATTCATACTGAGTTTCTTTAAACAAGCAAGCCCTGCACACTCTGCTTAGATTTCTGTTTTTTTCCCTCCCTTCTTTTATTTCCTTAATTGCCTTACATTTCTAATGCAAACACTTCTTTATTCTCAAAAGCTAACCCTTATCTGTAAGTTTTGAATTTATATTGTTTCATTCCATGTACAAAACCATTTTTTTCCTACAAATAGTTTTTTTTTTTTTTTTTTTTTTTTTGTGTTTGGCTATTGTAAAGTGAAGCGAAATTGTTTTTTGTAAAGGAAAGCAGAATGTTTTATTATGATTTTTGCTTCGATGACTTTAGGACAAATTTTAAAAAGTCCTAAACTCTGGTGCCCCCCCCCCCCAAAAAAAAAGCATCCTGAGGACAGGTCTCTGTAGTCTTCCATCACCAAACTGCCAAGGCCATCTTCAGCTGCACCCATTGCTGTCATCATGGGCATTGTCTCTCCCCATTCAGGTCAGTCTCACTCCCCGGCAAGACTAGGGACTCAATTGGAGCAAGGAGGTTGCTCCAACTGGGCTGCAGCATTTACGGAGGCACTTACTGGCTGGCTCTTAAGGAGAGGCACTGTGCTCCTACTCTCCTCACACTTCCTTTGGGTGCGACTCCGTGCTCTTCTACTTCTTCCCCTTGGCATTTACAGACCCTGGTTCTCTCCATCTTAACAAATCTCTTTAGACCACATTCTACTGCAAATGATTCCTCACCCCTTTGCTTCTTTTCAACAGCCCACTTTCTCGAAGCCTTGCCTCTGGTGGCTATTACCCTGTCCCCTCTCCCAATAATACATTCCTGACTCAGCCTGGACATGAGCCACATAGGAACCAGTTTTCCAGAGGCTGTGCTTCCGGAGGATGGAATGACACAGAAGCTGCACAGTTCTTCCCCGACCCATAGCTTGGTTTGAAACTGTACAGCAGTCTTCACTGGCCTCTGTCATGTGAAATTCAAGGATTACTTTTACTCCTCATTTTGCTTCACTCTCAGTAACTCTTGGCACCTTCAGAATCAATTCTCCTTTCTACTGTCTTCACTCTGTCCTTCCACTTTACTTGCCCTTCTCTGGTGTCTTGGGCTCTACGTTGACTGGCCCTCGTCTCCTGCTAGAGTTCTGTGAGTCTCTCTTCCAGGCGTCCTTCTTCTTCTTCTTTTTTTTTTTTTTTGAGAAATTTTTGCTATAGGGCACATGTGCTCACCAGAGAGACAGAGAGACAGAAAGCGAGAAATCACCCCCCAGGGGAGATGGTCACCCTGCAAACCCTTCTTGTCCATTCTCCTCTCAGGATCTTGGGCACGCACGCCCGCATGCACTGTGCCCAGAGTGAGTTTAAGCCACTAGGTCCGGGCTCGAACCACATGGGCGTCCAGCGAAATAGCCATTACACTAACTACTAGTCCTTTCCAGGCCTTCTTTACTACTGTGGCTTTAACTTCTAGTCATTGGCTCAGGGTTTCTAGACCTCGGCACTGTGGACACTTATGGCTGGATGATTTTTTGTGTGTCTTATACATTATAGGATATTTTTTAGCAGAGTCCCTGTCTCTACCTTTTAGACGTAGGTTAAACTACTCTGTTGTGATGAGCAAAACCATCTGTAGACATTGCCAACTGTCCCTGTGGACTCGGATTGCCCCCAGTGGAGGTTTAAATATATTTCATCTAACTAGTTTCAGAACTGTTTTAAAGTTTTATATATATTTAACCTTTATTCTAAAATAAGTTCAGATTTGTAAACAATTGCCATATTTGCTTCATCTGTGTGTATGTATATATTTTGTTGTTGCAACCTTTAAAAATATAGTATAAACGCTTGATTCTTTAACCTTGAACACTTTGGCATTCATCTATAAAAAAGACATTCTCCTAAATAACCACATTATAATCACAGCTAAAAAAAATAGCAGCAGTTCCTTAATATTATCTAATACACACTTCAAATTTAATAAAATTTAAATGTATCTGATTTTTCCCAAATAACTTGAACATTTTTTCTTTTCAAATCAGACCTTAAGTTTGTATTACCCTAGAACTCTTCCTAACCTCCCACTCCAAACTTTTTGTTTAAATGCATCAATTCTTTGGGGAAAAAAAATGCTTCTCTTGATTTGTAGAAGGTCTCACAATCCAAATTTATTTAATTTCTCTCTCCTGGTAATGTTTTACTCATTACTATATTTCCTGAATTTGCTATGCATGAAGTTAGACCTGTGAAAAGTAAAATCAGATCACATAATAAAAATTTTTTAAATTATTGC